GTAACTACTACGAATTTCTACAGGAAATCTGTTTATAAATTCATTTGTTCCCTTTAAATTTTTCGATATTTTTTGTAATTAATAAAATCCAACCTTTTTCTCCAGAACTTTTTTTATTTTGTTATCAATTGCCTTAGCTTGTGCAGATCCTTCAATTTTTGTAGAATGTGTATGTTCTTTTATAGTTTTAATTCTTTCAATGAATTCAGTTAGGGCCACACCTTGAATTTCAAGTCGAGTAATAGATGTAGAAATAAATCCATAATTTTTTTTATAAAATTAAAAAACTTACTCCTTTATATAAATAATTGTCAAATATACACATATAAATGAAAAACGGTCAAATATGCAAAATATGCAACTATAAATTTTAAATATAAACTTGTATTGCTATGAAACAAATTTCTATACTACTTAGCTATGTTTTTGATGATTATTTAAAAACATGCAAACTCCTAGAAGTCCCGAACCCTACTCATTATATAATATATTTATACATTTTATTTGCAATTCTCATGGAAAACTTTGAGATGACTATTACATTTGTTGGTCAGGTCATTCTTTTAATACATTTTTTTCTGATAATTAGCCTTTGAAAAGTGAAGGTACACGTTTTGAATACCTGGGCCGATTGACAATCGCATTAGCTAACTTTGACGAAAAATCAACAAGACACTATAGTTTCAAATCGAATAGAAAAATTTTCGTTTCCGATTACTCGTCAGCTCTCATAACGAAGTATGCCTAGATACATCTCGAGTGCATTGTATAAAAATCAAATTCTTCGATTCTTCGATACAACCGATTTGACTATAATGTGCCACCGACGTGTATGTATGTTTAATCGTATTTACTGTTATATTATTATTTTTTTAGTATTTACACATCATGTGTTATTATTATAATATATGTCCGTTCCAGCGTTCGACCCCGTAACGGACAGAAGAGAATAAATTATACATTGCGTATTACTCAAACGTGTTGATAATGTACTATTGCGGTGACGCGCGCGAAATCGCGAAAACGAGTAAAAGCAATTTCGCGGGTATAATGTCGAAACGTATTTGGCGCGCGAGAACCTATGCGTTATTATTAATATTATTATTATTATTATACTGATTTTACGACGACGGGTCGATTTTCGATTTAAAATCGTATTATTATTATCATTACGGACGTACTGAGCAAATAACTAACCTAACCAACCTGCTGCTGTGTGTTCTGCAACATGTATGCACATCGTACAACCGTAAAAAAAAAAAAATAAAAAAAATTTAAAATCTTATATAAATATACCGCAAACATACACGAATATATAAATGATTCGACGTGTACGCGATTTCTACGATTATTGCAATACAAATAAGCTGCATCCGTGGTTCTATCGTAATGCGGATGCTAAAACCGATGCGTGATTACATGTTGTCCGTTCACATACGTACATACATGTTTTGTATACAGAGTGGTTTTCGCGAACACGCAACTCTGTTATTATTTTGATCGGTACGGTAATAATATACTGTTGATTGTACTCTTCCGTTATAGTTTTAAGTCCGTCATTTGATTTGCGACATATTCTTAAGGGATTATTGTTATATTTTAAAGTTCCTGATGTGTCATAATGGCTCGTTCCACTTTTCTTACCGTAAGCTGACTCATTCGATTTGCACGTGTCGAAATTGAAAAAGAAACGTTCCGCCGTCCAGATCTACATGAATACTGCGTAAAAATAGTTAATCCTTTAAAAAAAAAAAAAATTACACAAAAATACATGTGTGGTTTAGATTACGAGTTTGATCGTATAATATTTCATAGAGTACAACGATTTTTATCTTATCGTCTGTAATTGACCAAATTCATTCATAGCAAACTTGTATGATGCATTGAATGTTGACGTTGTGTTCAGTTTAAAATTAAAAAAAAAAATAATAAAACGTGAAAGGTAATCGACATCATATCCGGGAAGCAAGATCCATCCATGTGCGTGCGCAATTATAAATCGCGAAAGTGTTATTTAGTTGAAAACGAAAACCCTTAAAATATGTTTCTGGAAACACGTGTAATATGCATTTAAAATTGAATACAGCTGGAATAAATCAGATCTTATGATGGAAAAAATGGTTGACGCTATGCTTAATTATTTATCGTTCCCGTGATAATTTTGTCGTCATTACCATAAACGTACTTAATTTTTACCGATAAATATAAGCATCCTGAGTCAGAGTGGGTATACAAAAAATTAATCCGCGTCTAAAAATGTGAAAATAAAAATATTTCTTTCGTCGTCGGATTTATATTCGTCGATTTATTTTATTGGAATAGATCAGGAATGGGCAACTGTCGGCCCACGTAATTTTTTTATCTGGCCCTTGCTACATTTTCAAATTACTTCATAACATTTTACCGTTTATCGGTATTTCATTTTATTACGTTGATCGTAAAATGTAGATATTATATTCTTATCCAGTATTGAAATTCAGCTAAATTATTAAACGTCTAAACATAATTTATATATATATATCAATATCGGTATAGTTAACATAGCTATTGGTATTAGGTACTTATTTTATTGTATTGATTCAGTCATAAGATTAAATTATATAAAATAAATGCCAACTGTCAATTTTAATGATCTTTTTTTTTCATGCTTTCTTTAGTCGGGTTCACTAGATTTTATGCTCTACAAATTGATCCTTTAATTATTTTGAGTTGCCCATCCCTGCTTTAAATGATGAGAACGAAAACAAAAATGCGTTTTAAAATTATAAAAATAAGTATTAAATACGGAAGGTAAAAGAAATAAATGGATTAAGTTAAAAATATGTAAAATACGTATTATTGGTATTATTTCGGTGAAGTATTTGTAAAGTTGCATCCTAGTAAGCCACTCTTTTTTTTTTTTTTTTCATTAGTTTCTTATTTTACATTCGTTTTCGGACGAAATCGTATTTGTCTCTTGTTCTGCAGAAAGCGCGGGTTTCCTGCGTGCTGCGAAAATAAATACACCAGGGACAAACCACGTTGTCTTGTTTATTTTTTCTATATCCGTTTATTGTCCTCGTTTTTCATCGACAGTACACGCGTAGCTGTTGTAGACGTTTGGGGCGCACACGTCGCGACGGATCGAATAAAATGATGTTTGAGAAACACGCGCCGAACCGAGCAGCAAGTGATAACAATAAATACACTAGTACTCTGCACGATCTGTAATTTTATGGGCCGGACTGAAAATGATAATAAAGGACCGGAGTTGACTGAGAACCGATTGCTAAATTTTATTTTCGACCTGATTGAAAATTTAAAATGATTTGTTAGACAGGACCGAGACCGCCGCACCGGTTCGTACCAACAGATTTCGGTCTGTAATGGTTTATAAACCAATGGGACCTATTCCGATTTTCTTTTCCTACCGGACCGGGCCAAAAATATAATATAATTCGATAGAGTGAACAAACCATTCGAACTAAAAAAAATTTCGGACGGTGAAAGTTTTGAATTATAACATATAATCGGTAATTGGCATAGATTTAAACTACTCGTAGATTGTTACAAAACTGCTGTTCAAAACTGATAACATGTAGTACATAGAAACATACCCACTAACATTAATTATAAATACGAATGCAGTCGAACGGCAGCTATATACCTAATGCGTTTGGATTAGGGGTAGGCCACCTTTTCGTAGGAAAGAGCCGTTTTGGTCTACAGCCTAAACTCGTTTTTCCCTTTCCAGATATTCAACACCCATTTTAAAAATCATATTTACTATAAATAAACGCCGTTAATCCCTTAATATTATCATTATATAAAACGAACCATCTGAGTTGGGTCCCGAGTACTAGGGGCTAATCGCAGGTAGTGTACTAGTTGGGTTCCGGATTTTTATAGGTACTACATTAGTTAGGTTCTGAATTATTTTAGGTATTACACTAGTCTCTGAATATTTTTTGATAAATACACATTGTACTTTGTAAGATACATTTACTAACATTCTCCTTCCCATTTTAAGACATTTAGGACTGACCATGTTCTATTTAGACCACAGGTATGAAGAAAAATGTTTTTTTTATATAGTTTATTTTCCATTAAAATATAAATTATTAGAATTATGTTGGTAAAAATATTAAAAATATTAAAATTGTATTAATATTATTGTATCATATAATATTTTTATTACACTATAGGTACTAAATTTCCAATACTATTATATAAAAATATTATATAAGTTATAGAATTTTAAAAAAAATGTGATCCTGTGGTCTAAGTAGATCATAGACCGTCCTAAGTCTGTTAAATTAAGAAGGAAAATATTTGTATAATATTGTACTTACCAAAAAATATTCAGGAACTAGTGTATACCTAAAATAATTCAGGACCCAACTAGTGTAGTACCTATAAAAATCCGGACCCAACTAGTGTAGTACTTAAAATAATTCGGGACCCAACAAGTGTAGTAATTTTAAATTCGGGACCTAATTCAGATGCAGTAATTTAAAAATATTAAATATAAATAATAAATTATACCGTAACCTAAGAAACAATTTTGATAGAATTTTAATTTACATTTTACGACCCACATAATATTGATGCATTTTCCAAAAAGCCACAGATGGCATGTCATGGAGCCGCAGGTTTCCGACCCCGAGTTTAGATTCATCGATTATCATTGCGCACCAACCCCTATAGGCACTCGTAAGTATTGCGGACACAATACCTGATGATAGGTGGGTGGTTCCGTGGTTGACAGGAGCACACAGATTCTAGGATATACAAGTTATTTATAGCGATTTGGATTTTGGCTATAAGACCGTTTCGAAATTGCAGTTATAAATCAATGTACTCATCATTTATCGTAGTTATACTTGGATTTTCTTGGGCAATACCATATGAAACATACATCAGCGACACTGTTGATTGTACGTTCATTAACGTGTACGCCAATACAAATTATTTTTCAGCTTATTTTTTATTTATTTTTGTTTTTTTTTATTTTATTTCAGATCGCTCCGGCCACTGGTATAATTGAACGCTCTTTGTTGTGAACAAGGTATATTTTTAAATTTTTTTTTTTTCTTGTGAACTATAATCTATTATGTATACTATAGTTCAGTGCTTCCCAAACTTTTTCGACTCACGGCGCCCTTCTCTAAGTCATAACATGACAAATCATAAGGACAATTTTAGACCGAATAGTATTTCATGATGGTGCGGCGCCCCTGTATAGGCATCGTGGCGCACCAGGGCGCCGCGGCACAAACTTTGGGAACCGCTGGTATAGTTGGTCCGGCAAACGTTATTGTTTTGACCATAGTAAATGTTTATAAACTTTAATTGCTGTATACGGTGTTGTCCGTGAAAATATTTGCGAGTTGTATACCCGTCAAATGTATTCATTCTAAATGATTTATCTAACGAAAAAAAAAATAAATGTATTGCCCGTATCAATATAAAAATTAATGCTAATTAAATTGTTAATAAACTGTATAAATATCATAACTGTACAAATTAATTGTAATTTAACTAAGTTAAATTCTAATTTCTATATTTTATTTTAACAATTCGAAATGAAAGATGCTAAAAAAAATTTATTTAAAATAATGATGTATTTTTTTAATTTTTTATTTTCAATTCGTATTTTTTGATTTTTATGCAAATATAACGGTTTTAAGTGCATATTGTAGCCCTTATAATTGTATTTTAGTATAAATCCTGGATTATTATTATTATTATTTTTAATATTTCACAAATTATTTGTGTACGTGATAATCGGTTGTTACCTATCTTAGACCCCTTAGGGGTATGTTAGATTAATATTTAAAATAAAATATTTATATATTTTCATAGATAACCTCTAGAATTGAAGAACCATAATCCGAAGATAACAGTAAAACATAAAAACATGTTTACTAATTTCATGAGCATCAGGCTAAAATAATTTCCTACCTCACCATGAAATTTACAAGTAAATAAAATAAATAAGATACTTAACTCATCAATCATTACTAAAATTAAATTTAATTTAATTTTATATTATTCAAATAAATTTGTAATGAAAATACTTTACTTTTTAATAAAAATAGACTACGTTACTTTCAAGTTACAATTTGAAAAAAGAAATGAATCTTTAAACTTATCAGTACAATATTTTATCCATATATTTTAAAATATATAGAATCAATATATTTATTTTTTTACATTTGTTGGATTTTTACTACCTATTTTTAACACGTTATATCAAAGAATTACTACCCAAACCTGTATATCACCTAAATGTCAAGTCTCTAGGTTAATCGGTTTGATTTGGATGGTGTATAGGATATGTTACTTCATAATATATCCGTAAAATATTTACGGCAACTAATACGCGCGTTTTCTTATTTATGTTTTTATTATACCACGGTGTTGAAGAAAAAACCCCAATAAACAGTATAAAAATGCAACCAAATACAAACAGAAATGTTGCTTAACACGTTTGTTCGTAATGCAAAATATGCATATAATTTAATAAAGTACTATACGCATTTTTTCTCTCGCGTTCGTGTATACGTAATATACCTGTAAAACGCATATGAAACATATCGACTTCCCTGATGAAACTCGGGATCTTATAATTTTTCTCTTTTCGACAAAAATGGATGACAGCTTTTTTCTCGAGAAAACTTAAGCTTATCCTTAATCGCGTAAAATTACGTTACCTACCGTGGGAATGAAACCAACAGAGCGAAAGAAAAAATAAATTAATAATAGTATTTTTCTTAAAATTTTTCATATTTTCATCGAAGCCAACTAATTCATACATCGCACAAACGATGTTTTAATTATTAATATTCAATTTTACACTTTTTCCTAAAAAAAATAACAACACGAAATAACCGCTTCTGTTTCGTGTATTTATGTATATACTATATTATTATAATAACAGATTTCTTCTTCTAATACTTCAAATTCCTCCCAACTATTTGGGGTCGACCATCATTGTTCTAAAACACCATTCATCTCGATTTTCTACATCCCCTACGCACTCACCAACGGTCATCATTCTCAATTGTATCCAACGATCTTTCTTTTCCCTTCAACGTTCATTTTCATAAAAACTCTTACTGTTTTTTTTCGTCTCATCACATGCTTAAACCATATCAGTCGATTTTCTTTCATCTTGTACACTATAGACGCTTATTATTATTATCAGTGGCGTACATTCGATCTTATTCTTAGGGGGGGGGGACGAAAATAATCGTTATCTTTTTTTTTTCGTTGCACAGACAAACAAGATAAATAACTGCTATAAACAGATACTATTTTATACAACTTTTTTACCAATTTATAGTTTACTTTTACATTACAGTAAATTAATAGCTATTGGAATATAAAAACAGCATAGTTAACAAAACTTTTCAAACACCTACAAACATAATTATTTAATTATCATAATATTTGTATAGTTGTATATTTTAAGTTAAAAGCGTAATAATGAAGCTACGAATATATTACACGTCATCAATAGTAAAACAATTTTATTTTTTTTTTGCCCTGGGGGGGTTTGAATTCGGACCCCCCCCCCCCCATATGTACGCCACTGATTATAATAATAAAAATTAAAATGACAACAATCATAATAATAATATAATACTATTTTCTATCTCTGACTATTATATTTTACGAAAATGATCAGATGAAATCTGTTTTTTTTGCAACTATAAATCGTATGACAGGGTGTAGTTATCGTCTCGTCGACACAACTATGTAATAGTATAATACAATATTACAGCACAAGACGGTCATTTTCGTTAGAACGAATAACGTGCTGACTGAATTATGAGCGAAAAATAATTGAAGTATCGCCCGAAAGTTTTTTAATGTAAAGTGTTTTTGGTTTTATTTTCCCTCCCATCACTCCTACTCGCAACTTCCAAGAGGTCTTTTCAAAAAATTATTACGTCTCAAACTCAGTAAAGTTTGCCTGCAATATGATTATTAAATTTTTTTTCATTATTATTATCATTAATTTGATTATTATTTTTCCGTGAAAAAGAGCTGTTTTGTAAATTATAATATAATAATGAATCTTGTGTGCGCTCCTTAGGTTATATTATTATTATTTCTTGTTCTCTTCTTTATGTGATTCAACTGTCGTCCGCAATTTGTATGTCAATTGTAATTTTTTAATGCCAAAACTATGTAAAAGTACTTACACCCGTCCTCGAAACGCTTTCATTATTTTTATTGTTAGAAATGAACGGGTTTCTAGAAATAAACATAACCTTCCCGTCTATTGCATCGTAAATATAAAATAATATTTTAATATCAATACCCCTGAGGGTGGACCGAAATGAAATCAGATACATGAATACTAGAGAGAGTTCGATAACAAGTATTTGATATTCCTTTAGGGATTGTGATTCTGTTGGGTATTTGTTTAGTGTTTATTCATAATAACTAAATCGGTCCCTTAACTGTTTTTTTATTTTACATTTTTAATCAAATTAATTTATATTTTATTAATAATTCATTCATGATTTTCACTTTACTATTACATGATAGTTATATAATAACTATATTGAATAAATCATAAATTTAACTTTTTTTCTTTTTATCAGTTTTAATAAGTAGTTTTAAACTCGAGTGTTAGAAGTATTAACTATTATACTTAACAATATAAAACCCACTTGATACAAAATAGTAAGTACCGTTCTATACACATAACTTTAAAATGAAAAAAAAAAGAACTGCAATATTCGTACTCTAATTCATAAGTATCTACTCGTACGGTACTGGCAATAGTAATAGTATACAGAATATTTCAACACGGATAAAGACATTCAACGCAAAACCATGAAATTAATAGTTTATACGTTTTATGTGTAACATAGAAATCGATATCATGTGTAGGAAGCAGAGACATTCCGATTTAACGATATCGATGTGTCAAATTAATGATCAAGTGTATTTTCAAGTGAAAGAAACTCCATAAGTCCAATAACATTTTAACAGTAATTACGCTCGGGGTAAAACAAGTATTAAACCGTTTACAATACAAATCTTAATTAGTGTATAATAATAATCGCTGTTCCATTTACAAAGCTTTAAAATGAAAAACAAAAAAAATATTTGTACTCCGATACCCTTAGGTATGCTAATCTTACGGGGAGCAGTAGCGCTGAATATTTCTATACGTTTGACAAAAAAAGCGTAGTAAACAATTTATACATTTTATGTACAGATAAGAAGTGAAATCCAAGCGTAGGACGACATAATATGTCTATATTATAGACATTTCGAATTAAAAATTTCGAAGAGTAAGATTAATGATCAAGTGTCACTTGTAAGTGAGACAAACCCTCTATTAGTTTAATAATATTTTAGTAAAAGGTACGGAAAATATTTACATTAATCCCTTATGTAATACAATACGTAATATGTATGTCAAATACAGTGCGATTACGTGTAATGATTTGCTTAAGAATTAATAAATATATAAATATTAAATACAAATCAACAGATATCATTGGGGTCTACAAATATTTATTATCATTCGAATTGCTGTATGTACGCAATAACGTATTAATTAAAAACATTGACTTTATAATTTATAACATTATATGGATACGCTTTCATATTATTTAAATCGGTAGCGGCTACGAGGACACAGTCACCATACGTTGTAGTTTTGAAACAGACATTAGTAAGCTGATAGATACATCATTATTAGGGTCAGTATAATGTTTGTCAAGATTTTTAATAATTTTTACTGTGGTCTTTTCCCAGGAAAATAGCTCGATTTTAACTGGGCATTAAGTAAAACTGTCAAAAATCCAACGGTATATTTTTAATTTTTTTTTTTTCGGTAGGTTACGTACATCACATAGCTTGAATATTGGTATGCTCTTACTATAGTAGTAATTACATATATAATTAGTTTATACTGTTGATGCGACGGCATCTAATAATCGCAGCGGTGAGATAAATGCCTGTGTTGATTTTCTAATTTTAATGCGAATTCTAATGTGACACCGATTAAATACTGGTCGACTAATCGATCCTTACAAT